TTCTAGGGGCAGGAATGGGAGGGAGGGAGGGAGAGGCAGGCACTAGCTAGAGGGTAGACCAGGGTTAATTTGGGTGAAAGAGAAGGAAACACACAATAAGAAGGAAGGTGGCACACACACACACAAACAAAAAAATGATAGCAGAGGAAAACACTGGGAAGTTTACAGCAAAGGTGTATACTGTTGTAACAGTATACAAAGGTGAGTACTGTTATGTATGTAATCCTACAATAACTATCCGGGCTGAACAGATATGGGGGGGGGGAGTGGGAGTGTATCCCAGAATATATATATATTTGACAGGGGATATTTGCATATGTACATTTGCTTTTGCTGTAAATATGTTCATGAATGTGATAGAGCATACAGGGGCAAAGTTATGAAAATTTAGACATAATCAAACACCTTGAGGGAATGAATCACTGGGCCTGGTCTAAGGACCATTGTCTCGGCGAAACCAAAGTCAATTGATAAAACAGTTCTCAAAGACAGTGTTCTACATCTTGCTTTGGCGAGTAGCCACTTGGGTTTTAAAAGCTCCAGATAGACTTTCTAAGATGCAGTGATTGTGTCATCCCTGTGTGGAGGACAAACGAGTGAAACAAATGGAAAACTCGTGGTCGTAATTAGTCAAGTGAGGTAATGTACCATGCAAACATCAGTGTTTTGCAATCTAGAGATCAGATGAACTTCACAGTACCTGCCTACAACTAGAACTGTTCTGACAGAGATCCCATTAGAGGGCCCTAGGTAGAGTGGGGGGAAATGTGGAAGAAAGCTCAGAATTAGAGACACGCTTACTGGTTGAATAGAGACTGGTGGAACTGTGGCCCTTAGTCTCCACTCAGGTCTGTAAATGAACTCATCCTCATAGCTCCATTGTCAGACAAATACTAGTTTTATAAGGGGAACACAAACATTAATGAGGTATGCACACCTTGGACTCATCCACCACTTGAGAATGAAATTGCAGCATTTACTCAAGGACAAAGTTCAGAAGGGTTGGGAAAGAAGGAGGAATGGGAATAGGAAACATGGGAGGAAGTGAAACGAATGACGAGATTACAATAAATGAGATGAAACAAATGTGTCTGGATTGTTGAGTGTAAAACTGAAGATCTGCTCTGTCAACCTTCACCCAGCTCACAATAAAAAGTTTTCTTCTTTTTTTTAAAGAAAGGAAATATCATGTAAAACACTTAGGTCTAGGCACATAGTAAGTGTTCAGTAATTGTTAGTTAGCTTTATTATGGAGTTCCTGGGTGCCACAATTGGTTAGGTGCTCAATTACCAGCCAAAGAGGTGGTGATTTAAATCTCCCCAAAGAAGACTCAGAAGACAGAGTTAGGGATCTGCTTCCAAAAGGTCACAGCCCTGAAAATCCTGTAAAGCGATTCTGTGAGTCAGAATCCACTCTGGCAACTAACGTCACCTTTATTATGCGGCGAAACCTGGGACTCGGGATGGAATGAAACGGCCTTGTTTCTCTGGGCCTTGCAAGTTTTCCACCTTTGACGGGGGTTCAGTCTTAACTGCTTTTATAGAACTTGCTTCAGTGAAAAATAGGAGTTTTCTTTCTCTAATAGATTTCTGACTCACACCGGTTCTGGCTTTTACAGATATTACTATAATACCATTTTTCAAAATGAGATGATCCAGTTATTTTCCTTGATACGGTTGTTGCTGTTAAGTACTGGTAAGTTGGTGTAGTGTCACTCTAGTGACACAGCAGAACGAAATATTGCCTGGTCATGATCCATGTTCACAGTTGATGCTATGTTTGAGTACATTGTTGCAGCCACTGTTCAGTCCGTGTTATTGAGTTCCATTCTCTTTTCACTAGCCTCATACTTTACATAGCATGATGTCCTCCAGGGACAAGACCTCCTGATAACATATACAAAGTAGATGCGACAGAGTCAGTCTCCCTATCCCTCCTTCTAAGGATTATTCTTTGTGTACTTCTTCAAGACAAATTTGTTCGTTCTCCTGCTAGTCCTTGCTATGTCCTGAACTCACCACCAACTATAATTCACAAGCATCTATTCTTCTTCAATCTTCTTTATTCATCAGAGGCATGCATGATGCTATCCACATCCAATCTACTGCCAAATCTAGATGATTCTGACTCATAATGTCCTTATATAGGATTTCCTAGACTGTAAATCTTTACTTTGAACTACATTTCATAAAAAGATAAAATTTAGCACTGGGTAGAACCTATTTCAGATGCTGTATCTTTTAATAGCGGGGCACCATCAGCTTTCTTCTTTGCTTATGCACCCATTTTGTCGTTAGTGATCATGTCAGGAAGGTGACTGTCACCAAGAATGGACATGGTCCTTCTTGATATTTGCCCTAATGAAGAGATCATTGAAGATACAAGGGGGTAACCCAAACTAAACAGATTTTTTCCCCCCAAAGCTGTGTATTTACATTTCTTACAAAACAACTATGTCACCTTCAAATCCTCTCCATTACACTTAATACACTTGTCAAATCTGTGGTTCCATTCTTGGAAACATTTTTCAAACTCATTGGTTTGGATGGCTGACAGCACCTCCCTCTTTTTTTTTTTTCCTTCACTTCTTCAACTTAGTTAAATCACTGTCCTTTCATGTCTCTCTTCATTCTCGGAAACAAGTAGTTGGTGCGTGGGGCAAGAGAAGCATGCTGTGTTTTTTTGGTCAAAAACTGGTGCACTGAGATGGCTGCGTGAGCAGGTACATTTTATGGTGGCAAAGCCAGTCCCCCATCTGCCACAAATCAGAACTTTTTTGTTGCACACTGTGAACGCAATCTTTTCAGAACCTCGAAATAGAAAGTTTGGTTAACAGTCTGACCTGGTGGAATGAAGTACTACCAGTTGTCATTTTTGTCCTTTTAGGAAGTTGATGAATATCCAGAACAAGGTTGTTATCAATCGACATTTCACCTTTTGGAAATGAGAAAACCACCTGTACACTTGAGTTTTTCCCACAGCAGATTATAAGCTGTGTTCAACCTCACAACAGTTTTGGCAGCACTTTTCCTGAGCAGGAATCAAAATTTCGCAGTTGCATGTTGTTCTCTTAAATCAGCTATCACCAAAAAGGAGGTTCTAGCAAAACTGCTTTTACGAAAAAATTCACTGTGACCAAAGAGAAACCTCCCAAGCAATGCCACTGGGTACACTAACTCACAGCAAGTAACTAGATGCTCACCTACTGGGAAAAATGTGTAGTACTATGAAAGTTCTGCTCGGCCCAGCACAATCTCAGGTTTGGGGGGGTACCCCCTATATATGGGTGCTAGAGTAAAGTGTGGTGAGAAACCAGATGGTGGCCACCTCTCGGAACGAATAGCATCTGGAGGCTTAAAGGTTTGTCTTCAAACAAGCAGCTATCTAAGGGAGGCATCAACTAAGTCCACATGGAAGAAGCACACCAGCCTGTGTGATCCAAGGACTGTAAATCTGAAGGAGAAAACTGAACCATAGCTTAAGTTCTGAGCATTTGGCTTGCAGAGGCTATGGATGACAGTGGGAGCCCAAATCCATTTGCCAAGTCCCCACATGGATTAAGCTTCCAGTAAATTCCCTCTGACTAGTCCTGGGATATGAATAAACTTGCAACCTGACAGAGCGCGTTGCACAGTTGATGATGGCAGCCGTAGCAAGGTTAAAATGTAACACCTTGTCATTTGATCTCCCTCGTGACCCATTTTAAAGTTTTTCAGTTTTCAATATTTTATGCTTTCTTTTGATTGAGGTTGGATTTTTTTGGTTTGTTTTGTCTAGTCATTATTTTTGCTTTGATTTGTTTATTTCCTGTTAGTGTCTTACATGATTTTCTCTCAGAAATCCAAGATAGGTAAATCTATACCGAAACTAACTGGATTAATAATTACCTAGGTGCATGGCAGAGGGAGGAGGTTGCAGGGAAATGGGTACAAGAACAGAACCTTCTGCAATTGATTGTGGTGATGATTGTGCAGCTCTTTTTAATATGATTGAATGGCTGGATTGTATGACATGTGAATTACATGTCAATAAAAACACTAAAATAAGAAAATTTTGAGATGTAATACAATGGAAACTCATATTTAGAAAAAAATGAGGCATATTAAGAATGGCAATTATCTGTATACAGTGGTTATATTTTTTCTCTCTACTTTTTAATCTCTTTATAGAACTTTAAAAGTTAAAGTAAATGATTTTTACATTATCTTACAGGTTTTATGATATATGGAGATGTAATACTTATGAAGGGGCTTCAAAAAGGCCATGAGAAAATTTTATTGTCTTTTCATTCCATTTTTCCAGGAACATTTTGAAGTCTCTTTTATAGCAACTATAATAAAGTACTGGATGGGGGTTAATAATCTATACAATTCTAAGGCTCTACATTTTGTATGAAATCATACGTATATAACTAAGTGGATGGTGGAAAATTATGGACATATAAACAAAAGGGCTTCAAAAAGTTCACAGAAAAATCTATTATCTTTTAATAAAAATTTTCCATAACTTTTTTGAAACGTCTTTGTAGTGGTATTCTCTAGAGCAAACAATAAAAATTAGAGCAATAAAATATAGCTAAAAACCCAATAGAACATTGAAATATAATTGTGAGATATATTTAAATAATTTTTAAAAGGTGGAGAAAGAGGCAGAAAGGAGTATCAGAGTATTAAACTTAAAATCATATTAGGCCAATAATAGAAATATATTGACATTTATTAAATACACAATTGGCAAAGTGAGGTAACATTTATACTCACTCAAGTCACTGCTATCAAGTTGATATGGACTCTTAGTGGCCTGATCGAACAGGGTAGAACTGCCTCTATGGGTTTCCAAGACTGTAACTCTTTATAGGAGTAGAAACTTGTCTTTCTCCTGAAGAGCAGCTGCTGGTTTGGAACTGCTGACCTTGAAGATAGCAGCCCACTGTGTAACCACTATACCCACAGCATAGTCCTGTCCTTTTGACATTTAAATTTTTCCCCTTTGGTTTCAGATCATTCATAATTTCACACGGAGGATCCAGACCAAAATTAAAGATCTGCTACAGCAAATGGAAGAAGGGCTGAAGACAGCCGATCCACATGACTGCTCGGCTTATACTGGTTGGACAGGTGAGAAAATGGGGGTAAGAAAGGGACAGGTTTTATTTTGGGGTTATGAGATTCAGACTTGGGTTACAACTTGCCTTTGAAGCTTTCTAGTCAAGAATTTATACCCCTTTAATAAAGTCTCAAGCGGCATTGTCATTAATGAGATTCTTTGGAATTTTATTCCTAAAGAAATGCTTTGTGAAAAAAAATAATAATAATAAAAAAGAAATGCTTTGTGCCTAAAATTTGAACTTTAATATGTAGTATGAATATATGGTAATCTATAAATGAAGTAATAGTTCTTATTGCATAGTTTCATATTTCAATGGTATATGATATCCATATACCTACAAAGAAGACAAAATTAATACCACAGTTATTCAGAGTCCAGAGTGCTAACCATTACACAGTTATTCATAGTCATGCATAAGTACTAATGGCAAAAAATTGATCAGACATGCCATCAAAATGCATAGGTTATTTCTAGTGATTGGAATGTGAAATGTGGAAACAAAAAAGGATTAGTAGTTGGAAAATAAAGCCTTGGTGATAGAAACAGTACTCAGATCATTTGATGGAATTTTTCAAGACTTGTGACTTAATCATTGCAAATAACTTTTCAACAGCATAAACATCAACTATACACGTGGTTCTTACCAGAGGCCATATATAAGCAACAAATCTACTTCATCTGTGGAAAGAGATAAAATAAGAGAATCTTGATCTTTCTTTTTTATAAAACCATTGTATTGGGGGCTCTTACAGCTCTTAAAAAAATCCACACATCAATTGTATCAAGCACATTTGTACATATGTTGCTATCATCATTTTCAAAACATTTTCTTTCTACTTCAGCCCTTGGTATCAGCACCTCTTTTTTCCCTCCATCCCCCACCCTCCCACCCTTATTAACCTGTGATAAATTATAAATTATTATTAAAAAATAAAATAATTTAAGGGATAAGACAACCAGATATAATACTGGTTTCTAAAATAGATTCATTTTGAGTATCCAGTAAAAAACAACAAAACATTTTGGAGTGGGTGGGAAAATATCACTATAGATTGAGTATTAAATAATGTGGCTGTTATGTCTCTTGATTAGCATTTCACTAAGAAAATAAAATGCTTCTTGGTTTTACATACTTTAAAAAAAGGTTCAACAACCAATTATTGTCTCTCAATAGATTTTCAGGTAGTCTCCTATAGAAACTATTCCCAGACTCAATACAGCATAGTTTTACATAATAGTATACAGGAAAGTCTTCAATTACTAAAAATAATTGAGACATCAGTGTCATATGTAAAAAAAATTAAGAGTGTATCCACTGCCAAAGCAGAGGATGTGTGTCTCAGAGACTGCTGGAGCCACAGAAGATAAAATAGCATAATCTACGAGGGACCCATTCTCTGCCATCAGAATGGGTTGTCCTGAATGAGCTTCACAGTGCAGTTCTCATTTGACCTTCACTTTCCCTCCCTGCCACTGTGGAAGGAGCTCGTTCCCAAGTAAGAGACTCTTAAGGGATAAAGCAACCAGGTAAACAACCAATGCCAACTGGTAGTGACCCACAGAACAAGGCAGAACTGCCCCTGTTGGTTTCCAAGACTAACTTTTTATGGGAGAAGAAAATGCTTTCTTTCTCCCACAGGGCGACTGGTGGTTGCGAACTGCTGACCTTGAGGTTAGCACTGTTCCTAGTGTTGTAAATAAGTGCCCCAAAGTTAAGAAAATAAATTGTATAATTTTAAATAATGGTGCCAACTTTATCAAACAATACAGTCGCAAACTGATTTGTATGCAGTAACATCCTCTTTTCCATTGTCATTATTTAGCTCATTCCTTTTCTTCTTTCCACAACACCTATTTACCAACAATCCTTGGTCCAAAGGTGCTCAACTCTTGCTCTGTAGAGCAGCAAGCCTAGAGCTCTACTAAGTGCCCCTAAGCACCTCACTCAATCAGTAAGGTTCCAAGTGAACACCTCAGCTCTAGGGCTCTATGGGTTGGTTAGCACACCCACTTAAGCTGCCTTTCTTCATGTGTTGCTCTTGACTCTCCTTTTAAAATGCTTCCTGTTCTAGGAGGTTCTTAATTCAGGGATGTTGGGTCTAAGGGATAGGTTCTGATTTTGCCTGTACTTGATAATAGTGAGATCCCCTCTTTTGCTCTCAGATTGACTCTCTTCATTAAGCCTAGTGGGATGCCAAAACCGACCAGTCCCTTAGGAAAGTTGTACAAGTATGTTATTTGCATGCCCCCATCCCTGTAGGGATTCCATGTACCTTTTTTGCATTATTAGCAGGCCCTTAGTGAGGTACAAGTACCATATTTGCATAGTTGTACTAAATTAAGATGTATGGGTTACAAGATCATGCATGGCTAGAAGGACCATATTTAGTTATTCACTGCATCATAAGTGTTAAAGTGTTCCAAAAATGAAAGAACTTATAAAAATTCTTTAACCCATCTTATCAACATTACCATGGAAAAGGTTCAAACAGTGTTTACATGAGGCTTGACAACATTCATGGAAATATTCCATTACATGGCAATTCTGTTTTCCGTGAGTTTTTAATTCCCTTTGTATATAACAACAATTAGCCCTAAAACACAACTTAGAGTCCAAACTACAAGTTTCTGCTTCATGAAACTGACTGCACATGGATAATTCATCAAATGAACCCAATGCCTCAGGAAAAATTCTATTACTAAGCTATTTTCTAGGCTATTTAGTGACTCAAGGGTCACTTGAGGGAGCCAGTTTTATCAAGCTCAAGGTTCCAAAGACCTTAAGGCAATGAGCTGGGTGGGTCACCCAACTCCAGTAACTCTAGAAATCTAGACTCCAGAAGCATTAAAACTCTGTTCTTCAGATATTCATTGAACATCGTTAGAAAACCTTAGTCTGAACAGTAGAGAAATGTGTTGCCTTCTACCATCGTATATCTTGCAATACTTTTCCTACTATATATTGTATTATTTCTTTATTCATTTTTCACTCGGCTGCCACATTGACTTCTTAAGCCTAGGAATAAGATGATGTTCCATTTAGAAGCCTTATAGGTCAACCTGCATAAATGTTTACATAAATATCAATCCCCGTTTATTGAAGCTATGGGTCTGTTCTTCATCTGACGCGGGAAAGGCAGCTAGGTGCTAAACTATATGCACTGTGCTTGGTGGAGCCTTGAGGTGGTGCAAACAACCAGCACACTCAGCTGCCAATGAAAAAACGAGTAGGTTTAAGTTTCCCCAGTGGCCACATAGAAGAAAGTCCTAGCAGTCCACTTCTGGAAGCCTAGGGGAGCACACTTCCACTCCGGCCCACACAAGCTCACTGTGACATGGAATCACTCCCTAGCCACTGGAGAATTCTGGATGCAACGCATTGCGTGACATCATGTGTCTAAAGGGCTTCTTGACTACCTTTTTGGCTCGTCAGTTGATTAGCTGCTTAGAAAGGAAATTGAAAATTTGTGAGAAATTATAAAACTAGGAAAAAGCTTGTGTGCATTTCAAAATTAGAATCATTTAATTTGGGATAAACTAGGAGAAATTGATTATGTGAGTTTTTTTTTAAAAAATCCAAATGAGTTTCAATACAAAGGAAAATGATTACAAAATTTAAAAGGCATGAAAATTAGGTGAGAATGAATGGATAGACAGCTGCCTTTGAGTTGATTCCAACTCCTGCTGGCCTTCCTTATAACAATATGAAGCATCGCCCAGCCCCCTCCCCCCCACCACCACCAACCTTGCAGTCTCTGCTATGTGCATTGCCGTGGCCCTTGTGCCAGTCAGTTCCACTAAGAGTCCCTGTGCCTTTGTGGACCTTCCACTTTGATGTGGTCCTTGATGTGTCCGAAGGACAGGAGTTGCCGGTGTTCTGTTGTGATCCATAAGGCTTTCATTTGCTAATTCTGGAAAGCAAGTCAGGAAGCTTTTCTTCCTAGTCTGTATTAGCCTGGACGCTTTGATGAAACCTACCCCCTGGAGTGACCCTGATGGAACATTGGCAGCGTAGCTTCCAGCAGCATGCAAGCCACCACAGTTGATTGACAGGAATGGGGTATAGGTATGAGTGGGAATCGGAATATCTTCCTTCGTGTAAGATTGGATTACTGTACCGGAACAAATAGCAAGCTATTATGTTTAAAAGTATTTGCAGTGTTTTTCCATACTGAGTTCTTTTACTTGTTTGTTTGTTTCAGTTTTAAGGACTATGTATGTAGCTTTTCATGTTATTCCTTTGTAGTCACACTGTTTATGTAGATTTTTCATGTAATGAGAAGATAATATAGTGAAGGTAAAATGAAAAAGTAATAATGCTTTTCTTGGGGGCTGGGGAAACTCTTCCAGGCATTGCCCTGTTGTACTTGCAGCTATACCGGGTCACGTGTGATCAAGCCTATCTGCTCCGGTCATTGGATTATGTGAAGAGGACCCTTCGGAATCTGAACGGCCGCAGGGTCACCTTCCTCTGTGGAGATGCTGGGCCCCTTGCTGTAGGAGCTGTGGTATACCATAAGCTCAAAAGTGATTTCGAGTCTCAGGAATGCATCACAAAGTGAGTTTTAAAAATTGAAAACAGTTTTCCCAAATTCTAAATGGAAGGAAAGAAAGAAAGATATCCAAAAAAGAAACTATTTTTAATTCATCTACTTTTGCAAATAGATCTAAGAAGTGAAGAGCTATTTACATTATCTCTAAGCACAATGGTGGAATTATATTTGTTCTTTATCTTTTTAGGTATGTGTTTGCCTAATGTTTTCAAGGACTAAGCATGTTTACTTGAGCTACTTTAAACATTTTTACTAAGTAACTTTTGCTTACTTGCCTTTCATAGCTGGAAGTTTGCTTATATGCCTCAAATCCACTATAATAAGTAAATTAATCTTAGATTCAACTTTTAAGTGACTAATTAAAATGGGAGTTGAGTGAATTCTCACTAATGGTGACCCAGTAGAGTAGAGTAGAACCTCCTCATTGGGTTTGTGAGGCTATAAATCTTTATGGAAGCGGACTGCCTTGTCTGTCTCCTACAGAGTAGATCGTGGTTTTAACCCACTGCCCCCCCACCCAAGCTTGTAAGCAGCTGGTTAAATATGCTAATTATGGAGCAATTCAAGAATATGAACTTGTTGTTTTGTTTCTTCCTATTAAGCAGAAATCAAGGCTCATTCCCAGGATCTGGTAACTCATCAGGCACATGCTAGCTGGCTGATGTTTGTTTAAAGACAGGAAATCTCAAACTAATACCCTGGTTACATTTTAGTAGCATTGCTATTTAGATTATAAGCCACTTTTTTCTCATTCTAAATTTTAAAATGGGATACATGCTTTAGACCACGTATAAAGGTAGACATTTTGAGCATAAAAATGTTTGTTCCTAATTTTGATATCTGCAAGAAGAATCAGTGAAGATCTTGTTCCTGTCTTTTAATTTTTACAGTTTTTTAGTATTTGTTTGTTTTTTTTTAGTTCTTAAAATGCTCATAAGCCTTTAGGTTTATTAATAGCAGTAAACTCCAAGAGTGGTTGGTTACTTACTGTCGGAGAAAGTAATGTTTTAGGCATTCTCTGAGAAAACAGAATTCTCTTGTTAGACTTTTGCAGCTCCAGAGAAGCATTGTGTGTGGAGAGTCAGACCTTCCTGATGAGATGCTTTATGGACGGGCAGGCTATCTGTATGCCTTACTGTACCTGAACACGGAGATTGGCCCAGGCACTGTGTGTGAGTCAGCCATTCAAGAGGTACTGTGGCCTTACTGACCACTGTTGACCTAGTCTCTGTTCTTCTGAACCTACTATGGGAGTGTTATAGTATCGAGAAGACTTGCTCCTAGCGTTGCATAAAGATTTTAAAAATGATTCTTGCTTTTCCTTAAAAAAAGTTTTTTTTAATCCCATACCTTGTTTTTTTTTAGCCTATATTACTTTGTTTTATTGGAACCAAGCAGCAGCGGTGGCGGTACCGTTAGAGAGAATGTTTATTTCTCTTTCTGGAGCTATTTGAAGTGGTAGGCAGTTTAGGTCAGGTGAAGACAAGGGACTGTGATCAGGCAATAGGACTCTTCTGTCGTACTCTATGTCGTGTCTGAGGTGCATGTCCTTATGTGCCTGACAGAGCTAATGAGTGAGCATCGGCAGCCAATTGGAAAGAGAAAGCAGGGGGAAATAAGCCGCTCCCTGTTTAAGGATACAGCATGGAAGACACCCACACCACTTCTGTTTTCATCCCATTGGCAAACTGTGTAGTTAAAAGGCTGTGTCTGACTGGCTCTAGGTAGGGGGCCCAGATGCCCCGTTAAACCTGAAGTGACTATTACCAAAAGGATGAGGGGCATAGGGACATAAGGAAGCAATTCGTGTCTCTGCCACCTGGCCATTCCAGACAGGATGGTCTTCTGATCTAACTGAAATTATTCACGACACAGCAAATCTCACTGCAGTGTCTTTCCTGAATAAAGCCAATTCCTCCAGCCTTTCCTGTGTGTCTGTGTACCAGCCTCTGTTGGAAAGAAAACATTGCAGTCACAAAATAACTAAGTAATCTAGAATAATCCCTGTCATAATAACAGTTTACCCTAAAGAAGCATTGTAGAGTAAGTTCTTCATAACCTAGTAAACTGTTTATAAACTTAACATTTCTTGGTAAGGTTTTTTAGCATCTTTCTCTACTCTCGTACTGCCTTCTGATTTCTCTACCCTGCATTTATTAATTTACAAACTAAATATAAACTAAGTTGGCTACTAACTGCTTAAAGATTTTTAGATGAAGTCATCTAATAGGAATATGTATGTTTAATGTTAGTGTGACCACAAATTCATGCTCATAAGCCTTTATGTTTATGTTGTCTTATCTCCGTAGGTGGTCAATGCTATTATTGAGTCCGGGAAGAATTTGTCAAGGGAAGAGAGAAAAACCGAGCGCTGTCCCCTGTTATATCAATGGCACAGGAAACAGTATGTTGGAGCAGCGCATGGCATGGCTGGAATCTACTACATGTTAATGCAAGTAAGTAAGAAGATTCTGACGCAGTAATAAAGATTGCACATGAAGTGAGAGATGAAATTCTCAGAGCCGACCAAGCACACTGAAATTAAGTCAGGCTTCCTTCTGAGTCACGGATGTTGGAGCTGCACTCCTTGAACTAAGTGTGCAGAGTGACTTTCTGTGAGCTTCTTTGTATGCTGTTTTGTACCAGATTAGTGTCTACTGCCCACACTTTCTTCTATCTGCTGCCTCCTGCTGATTGAAGTGAGAACTCTTTTAAAAAACCTTGAGGGAGCAGAAAGAGCTTCTTTAACCCAGACTGAGGTAAAGCCTTTCTCATTTGCAGATGTATTCAACTTGTCACTAATTGAGCCCTAAATCTGTAGTTAGCGTATTGCTGTGGTTATGATCGTTCCTTAATCATCCTTGACATCTGTTTACGTACTGATTCTTCTGTCAGTCAACTTTCCCTCAAACACTACCTCAACAGGCTTCTGGCTTATGGGTCCCTTCCCTGTTGTGTGCCCAGCCTCCTTTTCTTATATTCTTTAGGTAAGCCTTTCTTTATTCTACTACACTTATAAAAAGTTACAAATGTATTAAGTCAAGGATTAGAATTCATATATCTGAGTAGAGAGCTTACATACAGGTAGTCTCTGGGTTTTGAAGGAGCTTATGTACAATACTATCACATTAGAGCCTGTTAAGTATCTGAAGTACATACAATGGTTTGTAATAACAGTGGACATTGTTTTGCAATGTGCAGGAGAACATTATTGTTATTCCTGCATTATTAGGTTTTAAAGATGTTTTGGTGTGTCTGCAAGTGTTTATGGGTTTTTATGCATTGAAAGGTATACTACATACTAAGACAAACATTTGACTAACTTTAGATGTGAACTGTACTTAACTATTTTGGTTTAAGTGCAAACTGAGTTTAAAGAATGACTTAGGAATTTCATAATCCAGGAACTGTCTATGTTTGTTTTCCAATTACACGACATCATTCTGCTATTCACTGAAGAGAATACAATATTCATATCTACTCAGGACTTAAGTCCCTTTCCCAGTATCTAATCTTGCTAAGCATTGTGGTTTGCTTGTATTTTAATTTGTGCTTGTATTTTAATGCTTGTATTTTAATTTGTGGATGTTCCTTATAGTACAGGCTCATATTTCCAACATGAACAGAATTCTAACCTCATTTTAAAATGGCACTATTATTCTGGACTATCCATAGGTTTTGTGAATTCTCTACTTTTGGGAGAAACATGTTTTATTTATGGCTCAGGAACCTTTCTTGTTTTGTTTCTTTAAGTGATAATACCTTATGGGGACATAATAACTTTAGAACCACACTACTAAAACAGTAACCTAATTTAGATTCAGATGTTTAAATGGCTTTTATTAGATAATAGGGGTTTTCTTAAGAGAAGCATAAATCATAGGATTTTCTATTCATTTGCTCTTAAAACAGAGAACATAGCAGCAGTATTTTGTTACTAGCCTATTGAGAGAGTTTTATCCATTTTCTTTTGTAGTCTGAAATAGTAAGTAGTATGCTGGAACTGGCACTTTCCCATTTCTAGAACATAGACTCAGGCCCCCTGCCCCCCACCCCCCAGGTCTTCACAGTGTAATTTTATTTGGAAGGCTATAAGTCCATCATGCAGAAACCATTAGAAATCACTTAACCAAAGCTCACTTTCACAACAGCGAAATAAAGACAATGCTCCTTTCTCAAAAGTCATCTTAGTAACAAGGTAAACGAAACACAAAAACCTAAACTCTGATGAAACTAGGAAGCAGCTGGAGCCCTACACTGTCCACACGAAGACTGAGAGCAGGCAGAAGAGTGACACGTGACCTAACGGAACAGAGGAACCGCAGGCAGAGCGACTGAGGGAGGAAGTGGCAGCAAGAAGAAAGTCCGTGTGTCCTACAGAACCCTAGAACGTGGGAATTTAAAGTTCCAGGTGCTACAGAGGGTGGCATCCAGCGTGTGACTATTATAGAAGGGGCTAGGTCTGGGCAACAGGAGAGTTTCTTTGGAAATCTTTCTAAGGAGCAGGGGAACCTGTTCATACCTCCGTCCTGCACAGTGAGATGACTAATCCTACCTCGACCCTGAGTGGAGGTGAAGGAACCATGGTCCGGAGGAATTGAACCACTTTTGACTTAAGAAAGCCAGGCAAAGTTAAAAACAAAAAAGTTAGGAATAGAGGAGAGTTGAAGTGAAGTGAATTAAAATGAAGGGGTTTGAATGAATGTCCACATACTACATGGTGAGACCTTCCCTCCCACGCAGCTGCCTCCTTCCCCCTACTTAGTTCTAGAATGTGAATAGCCACCCCTCCCTGCTCCCAGACATCTCAGATAAAAGATTTATGGACTTAAGCATTTGAAAGTCCCCAGTGAGAACCCAGCTAGCCATTCAATCACCTTAAAGTGATTTCTACAGTTTGACAAGTCCCATCTGTGCAGAGCACATCTTATGCATAAAATAGGAACAAACCTCCAGAGAATTCCCATTCACTTGAGGGAAGCCTCTACCCTGAAATACAGATATGAAAAAATGGAAGAAAAGTAATATAGAAAACATCAAAGACTATAATATTATCCAGAGGGGGGAAAAATAGAAGTTATTATATCAAGAAATAAAAAAGACTTGGAAATAAAGAGAGCTTTTTAAAAGAAAAAATAGGATAGTAGTTGAAATTTCTTAAAGTTTATAAAGTTGTTTGGAAAATAAATCTCTCAGAAAAAAGGCATAGACAAGCGGAGAAGAAACAATAAGAAAATTAGAGGTTTACTCTCAGGATAGCCAACCTCTGACTAGTAGAATATCTGCACAGAGAAAACAAAAGTAGGACAGAGAGAATGTTAAGAAAATTCATAAATAGGTCCCAGAAATAAAGGACAGAAAATGCCATATTGAAAAGGCATTTATAAATAACCAATAAATCTGACTTGAACAGTTGAAACCTTGTCATTTGAGCCTCCCTTTGATGCATGCTGGACCCGATCTGGTTTTCTACATTGTCTGTGTTTCTGTTTGTTCATATTAGGGTGTATCTCAGAGGTGTTATGTCATTGGAGGTCACCCTCTTGAAGTTTTGTTATGTATTTATTGGTATCTGGGTACATGAAACCCAGGATTGATGACCCTATAGGGACAGCAATTCGAATAAGGGTTTCCAGGGGGTGGGGAGTAAGGGTGGGGGTGGTCAGGGAGACGATGTCAAAGAGTCCAGGAAGAAAAAGAGTGTTGGGAAATGGATTGTAGTAGCAATTGTGCAATTCTGCTTGACGTGATTGAACTATGGAATGACATGACATATGTATTAACTCCCACTTAGTAATAAATTTTTAAAAAGAAAAGGCCTAGCAGGTTCTACACATCGAATGGAAAAATCAAACAAAAAATCTCTTCTTGCACCATGGTTCAGTTTTGTGAAAGTTTAACAGAGAGGAATGGAGAAACAATTCTTACAACTCCAGAGTTGAAAAAGCAGTTTATGTACAAAGGGTAGGATTCAACCTTGCACTGGATTTTTTAACTTCTTCGTTTAAGCTTAACGGGTAAGGGCCACATCCAAATTCTGAATAAAAAATATTTTCTGACACAAGTTCCTTCTAGAAAACTGTCAATCAAAAGTGGGGTAGAACAAAGACAATTTCAAACATTCCATTTGAAAAAGTTTC